TTTTTGTTTCCCTTGTTTTTAAGCATAAACTCACTTAATATTGATACATTTTCCAGAAATCTTCATATTTTCAGTCCTTCTGCTTCTTCTCCAGCAAATGTGTCTGGATGTGGGAATGATTAGAAGTGTGTGTGCTGGAACCCGACAGTGTGTGTGTGTGTGTGTGTGTGTGCTGGTCCCCGACACAGAAACACTGAGGAACAGCCTCATGTCTGCAGTTGTACATTATATTCCAATTCTGGTTCAAGGAACAGATTTTAGTCAAAAATGTAAATATGTAACCCAATGGCTGGGTTTGTCCATATTTGACCCAAATTTGGGTCAAAACAACCCAGCATTTTTTAGAGTGTGTGAGACACAACACCGTCCGTTACAACACTTTTTTGCATCTATTTGTCATTTTCCTCGTAACGGAGACGAGCAGTGTGAAGATTCCTCATAAACTCACACGCCATTAAACGGAGGCGCGAGTGTGAGAGTGTTCTGATCTCCGGCCTGAAGAACAGTGTGTGTGACCCGACTAACTCCAGCCGTCTGAAGGTCACTCGCTCGCTCGCTCTCTCTCTCTGTCTCTCGGTGTTGGTCAGACACCAAAGCCGGCGGACGATTGTGTGCTGAAGGATATTCAACAGTTATGATTAATAAGCTAAATATGGCAGCGGCACTTCTCCATTTCCCTCGTCCCCGCAAAACTGAAACATTTCCAGCCAGGCGGACTGAATCCAAATGCTTAATTTCATTACATGGTATTAACACACACTGAACGCAGGCTTTGAGCTGTCCGACCGGGAACAATAGCCCCGCGCGGGAGAGCGCTTCTCAACCCGGAGTCTGTCAGACACTCAGATGCTCTCTTCCCATGAGCAGCGGGACCCTCCGGACACGCCCCTCGACCTCTGACCCCGCGGCTCACAGGCTACCCACAGTGCACTGCGGTCGCACAGGCTCAGAACCAGGGAGAAGATGTGCAGGGAAAGGGCTAATGCTAAAAAATGCCAAAATTATGGAAACAATATTACACATATTTTTGAGTAGTTTTTAAAGACTTGATTTCTTTAATGAAATCTACCGGAATAAATCATGTACAATCCCCTAAAATATTTAGTCCATGACATAATAGTGAAATTAGCTCTTTTTTATTTTAACTTAAGTTGACTCTCTAACGTGTGTGATTTAGAGTGAATAGAGCTTACTGAGAAAATACAGGAGAAGTCATGGAAAAGATCTATTCCACTACAAATTATTACATTTTGGCTAAACCAATATTTGCTATGTATACACATAACATATTCTTAACTTTAATATGAATCATATTTTACTTGTATTTGAATCAAACAGTACATTCAAACCACTTATTTCATATAATATTAATATTTAAATCCGATGATTTTATTACTCAGACTGGCCGATATTAGAGAGGACCTATTATGCAAAATTCACTTTTATATTGTTTTGCACATATGTATGAGTGAAACAACACATTACTGTGGTACAAATCATCCAACCCCGTTTGTTATTTTTTCCATAAATCTGAAACAGTCTCAAAATGTTGCCCCGCCCACTGTTGGTGATGGGCTCCGCCCTATTCGCTTAGCTCCGCCCCTTAGGGAGTATTTTTATTAAAGCTAGTAAAGTTACTCAGTCAGGGGCAGTGAGTGATTTTCAGCTTCTCTTTTGTTGTTTGATTCATGTGTTAATGATTGTTTCAGCATTTTTTAAACAAATCCGTTGAACAATGCACTGAATCCTTCATAAAGATTCAACTATTTTAGTCTCAAATGAATCAGCGTATTAAAACGAATTGGCTGAATGAATGACTCAGTGAATCACCCATGAAGAATATTTCAGTCGTACTCATAAAGACATTCAACGGTGTCGTTCACGAATGAATCAGATTTTTGAACAAATTAATTACATGAATGATTCAATGACTCACTAATATAGACAGTACATTTTTTTGTTCCCAAATAAATCCGTGTTTTTGAATAAATCAGAATGATCCACTCATAAAGACAGTCGTTACTGGTGTAACACTTTAATCACTGTGAAATCCCAGCACTAACTCGCAGACGGCGGAGGGATACAGACGGTGAACAGGCCCAGAACTAACTCCACTATAAATCAAGTTTCTATCCTACTAAACCTGTTATTTAGGCTGTGCAGATATGAAGATGTGGACTTCTAGAAAATACATGTTTCTTAAGAGACTTTTCAAAGCTGACATGGAATATCCCGTCCGGAAGTGAGCCAGGCTAACTTAACTTAGCGGTGAAACTTCAGGCGAGGTGAAGATACCATGAAGGTAACTTTGCAAACTTATGTCGAACAGACATGAATATTAATATAAACTCCCAGCGGTGTGTGTGGCGATAACAGCCCTGACTCGCGTATTCCTGAGCGCGAGATGAAAGGAACAGGATCCTGGTTTTCCCGGCTCTGTTTCTCCGGGACACAATAGCTCGACCGGCTCTTCCATTAGTTTGCCATCTCAGACTGACGACGTGACAGCTCCAGCTAATTGTTAATCCAGCCATAAATGTTGCTCGGTGTAATTAATCACATAACAAAGCAGGAGTCTCCAACAATGGTGTGTGTGTGTCGGGCCTGAATGAAGGTGTGACCCCATTACAATAAACATCTCCGAGAGCCCAGCGCAGGTCCGGCCACTATTTAATCTTCATTTAGTGGCGATATGTGAGCGCTGACTGCAGATCAGTGTGTAAATACCAGCGCGGGTGAATGCTGATCTGAGATCAGTGTGGAAACGGCTCGGGGTCAAACACCATTCATCATTATATAAGAGGCATTCGGCCCGATTCACACGCCAGCTGGTGTGAGACAAGCGAGGTATTCCTTGAAAGGGCGCGCGAGAGAAGTGTGTGTGTGTGTGTGTGTGTGTGTGTGTGTGTGTGTGTGTGTGTGTGTGTGTGTGTGTAAGAACACAATAATTGCATAACAACAATAACAACATACACATACAGAGGATCACAATGTATTCAACTATATCTATTACATTCATAAAAGCATCAAAGGAAATGAAAAAAAAAAAAAAAAAAAAAAAATTATACAGGACAAAATTAAATGTTATACAAAAAAATTAAACTTACAAAAAAATTCCAAATAGAAAAGGATGCAAACATTCTATAACGTTTCGCTTTTTTATTTCTTGCCTCTTTCAGGGCCTCGATATAATGCTTAGATTCACACGGCGCTGATGCGAGAGAGAAAGGTATTTTTGAAAGAGCGGCGCGAGAGGAGGAGTGTGTGTGTGTGTGTGTGTGTGTGCGTGCCGAGGCGATGATGTCATCTCTCCATGACCTCCTCGGTCACAGGATCCCGGTGTTCCTGGGAAGATCCGATCGCACACAAAGGACCGGCTTATTGCACACTAATGCATTTCACTGCCGTGACCCAAAAGTGCATTTTTTTGTGAGTTCAAATTATGATTAATATGTGTTTTGTATCTGGTTGTTGAGGAGATGATGTGGACAACAAGAGCATCCGTTGTTCAGATGAGAAGATCCTCGGGCAGTGAGCGCTCAACTGGACAAATGGGATGATTTGGGGAAATGGACACAGGCACGAAACTCTCTCTCTCTCTCTCTCTCTCTCTCTCTCTCTCTCTCTCTCTCTCTCTCTCTCTCTCTCTCTCTCTCTCTCTCTCTCTCTCTCTCTCTCTCTCTCTCTCTCTCTCTCTCTCTCTCTCTCTCTCTCTCTCTCTCTCTCTCTCTCTCTCTCTCAAGTGCCTATAACTCTGTTACCTGTGTTTTTAAGGAACTTAATCAATCAAATCGATCAAAAGTGACGACATTTATAATGTTACAAAAGATATATGTCAAATAAATGAATAAATGCTGTTCTTTTGAACTTTCTATTTGGCGAAGAATCCGGAAAAATTAAATGTATGACATTCCCACCAAAATATGAACTGTGTTCAACACTGATAATAATCATAAATGTGTCTTGATCATCAGATCCTCATATTAGAGTGATTTCTGAAGGATCATGTGACACTGAAGACTGGAGTAATGATGCTGAAAATTCAGCTTTGATCACAGGAATAAATTACACTTTACTGTATATTCACATAGAGAACAGCTGATTTACACTGGAGTAATATTACACTGTTTTACTGTATATTCACATAGAGAACAGCTGATTTACACTGGAGTAATATTACACTGTTTTACTGTATTTTTGATCTAATATTTCAGCATTCACCAACTTTAAACTATTGAATGGTAGTGTAAGGTCACACACTTTATCATTAGTTCTACTGTTCAGGAATAATAGTGTCTGTCCTGCTTCCTCCTCATGACCTGTGACTGACACACACACACACACACACACACACACACACACACACACACACACACACACACACACTGTAATGTAGTTAATGCCCCTCTGGACTTCATGTCTCTTGTGGTTTTGACAGGGCCTTGAGTTATTCATACTGGAGAAAGATCTTTTTGTCTGAAAGCTTCCGTGTTTGAGACAAAAGCAATGAAACCACACACACACACACACACACTCTCACACAGTGTCTGATTCGGGCCCTTGGGCACAGAATGCTGTCTGTGTCTCTGTCATGAGCACTAAATAACCTATTCATAAAGTCCTACTGATATAAAACTGCCATTATACTTAGTGATGTAGAGTTCCAAAATATACACGCTCATAATGCAGTGCTTTTATAAATCTAAATATACAGCATCAAATGACAGAGCGTTAAAGTAAAAATGAACGATTCTGAAGTGAATCTGTAGGGAGTAAATTATCGGAGACTGACCCGTGAACAGATTCCACACTCGTCACGGCATGAAACCATGAAGAGACACAAACACACACGCAAGACTTCATATCTCCAATCTCAGCTTTCATTTACCTGAAAAGAAGAAAAGTCACAATGTAAATGAGGAAACTATTTAAGCATTATTCAAATTTAGATTAAACTATATATGTAGTTTATTTGTATCTTTTTGTAAATATCCCAAGCTTTGAAATGTTGTATTATTGTATTGCCAATACAACTCTCTTCTCTTTGCAGAGAGATTACCTAGGCTCCTCCCACATAGACTCCTCCCACTGTGTGCAGACTCCTCCCACTGCAGATCGATTCCATAGGCTCCTCCCACTGTGTGCAGACTCCTCCCCCTGCAGATCAATTCCATAGGCTCCTCCCACTGTGTGCAGGCTCCTCCCAATGCAGAGAGATTACCTAGGCTCCTCCCACATAGGCTCCTCCCACTGTGTGCAGGCTCCTCCCAATGCAGAGAGATTACCTAGGCTCCTCCCACATAGACTCCTCCCACTGTGTGCAGACTCCTCCCACTGCAGATCGATTCCATAGGCTCCTCCCACATATACTCCTCCCACTGTGTGCAGGCTCCTCCCACTGCAGATATATTCGCTGCATCGTATACTGTCTGAGTAGGTACTATATTTGAATTAGAATCTTCACTTTGTTACCATTAAAAAAGTGTGCTCTCTATAGTATGAATATGAGTAGTATGAATGAAATCCGTGGCCTCACGGGATAGTAAAGTGTCTATCGAATGCGCACTTCAGAATCTCGGCAGAAGTAGCAGATCATGCCAGGATTTTTCGCCTACTGTTTTTCGAATATGTATAGCACAGGCTAGTCCCACAGAGACTCCTCCCACTGTGCAGACTCCACCCATTGCCGATAGATTGCATAGGCTCCTCCCACTGTGTGCAGACTCCACCCATTGCCAATAGATTGCATAGGCTCCTCCCACTGTGTGCAGACTCCACCCATTGCCGATAGATTGCATAGGCTCCTCTCACTGTGTGCAGACTCCACCCATTGCCGATAGATTGCATAGGCTCCTCCCACTGTGTGCAGACTCCACCCATTGCCAATAGATTGCATAGGCTCCTCCCACTGTGTGCAGACTCCACCCATTGCCGATAGATTGCATAGGCTCCTCCCACTGTGTGCAGACTCCACCCATTGCCGATAGATTGCATAGGCTCCTCTCACTGTGTGCAGACTCCACCCATTGCCGATAGATTGCATAGGCTCCTCCCACTGTGTGCAGACTCCACCCATTGCCAATAGATTGCATAGGCTCCTCCCACTGTGTGCAGACTCCACCCATTGCCGATAGATTGCATAGGCTCCTCCCACTGTGTGCAGACTCCACCCATTGCCAATAGATTGCATAGGCTCCTCCCACTGTGTTCAGACTCCACCCATTGCCGAGAGATTGCATTGGCTCCTCCCACTGTGTGCAGACTCCACCCATTGCCGAGAGATTGCATAGGCTCCTCCCACTGTGTGCAGACTCCACCCATTGCCGATAGATTGCATAGGCTCCTCCCACTGTGTGCAGACTCCACCCATTGCCGAGAGATTGCATAGGCTCCTCCCACTGTGTCCAGACTCCACCCATTGCCGATAGATTGGATAGGCTCCTCCCACTGTGTCCAGACTCCACCCATTGAGAGTGTTCTGGCCCTCATTACAGTGAACAGTAAAAAGAGCTAAAGAAATACCGTAATACAAACAGGGAATTCAATTTTCATTCGCCTCAATGTTCTGAAATATTTCAGTTCACACTAACAGAGCACAAGATATGACCAGCCAATCATTAGCAGCCAGTCATTACAGCCAGGAAACTGTAGAAACAGCAGGACTCATTCCCACATCCAGCTGAGCAACAACTGCGAAGAAAAGAAGAATATCAAACATCTCTGCGACGTTGCATCATGAAAGCGTGCGTGTGTGTCTCAGGTGTCAGTGTTTACATCCGCCGCTGTGATGCTGAGGTAAGCGTTGCGTTGCATTAGCCAGCGTGCCGCGAGCGCTAGCGTCAGAGGACACGGGTGTACCTGTAGCATCACTCACCCGCGCGAGTCTTTATCCAGCGTGATGTTTTCATGTCACGCCGCGGGCGTCGAGCTGTTGTTACCAGCTAAACCCAATCAAATCTTTCTGAAGTCGTCGTCGTCGACGCGTGACACCGTCTAACCTTAATGCTAAATAATTAGCCGAGCGTGTGTCGCGGTGGGGTTCTCACCGCAGGGTGAGCTTTCTTTGATCATTATGCTAATTAAATCTGTCTGTGTTGACAGGTTGAGCGGGTGAGGAGCCGCGACAGGTAGGTGTCAGGAACACGTCGAACACCTGGTGTGTGTGACTCATTAAACTGTCATCGATGACCCGAGAGAGACTCGATGAGAGAGAGAGAGAGAGAGAGAGAGAGAGAGAGAGAGAGAGAGAGAAAAGAGAGAGAGAGGGAGAGAGAGAGAGAGAGAGGGAGAGAGAGAGAGAGAGAGAGAGAGAGAGAGAGTGAGAGAGAGTCACGCCGGACGCCCTCGTGTCAGTCACTCACGACAGCAGCTCGAGGGAGGAATTAACCGGCCCGCTCTGAGATGTGTCACACACACACACACACACACACACACACATGATCACACACACACACACACACACTAACCCGACCCCTACACCTACCCATCACACACACACACACACACTAACCAGACCCCTACACCTACCCATCACACACACACACACACACACAAACCCGACCCCGACACCTACCCATCACACACACACACACACACACACACACACACACACACACACACACACACACACACACACACACACACACACACACACACACTAACCTGACCCATCACACAAAACTTTCTGCATTTTTACATTTTCAAAAAAACTCATTCTGTGATTTATAAGCTTGTTTCCTCAATTTAGGTCCACAGTGACACGAGTCCCCACACACACACTTACTCACACACACACTTACTCACTGACACACTCACTCACACACGCACACGCACACACACACACACACACACACACTCGACCGGCCAAGGTGAGCTCAGTGAGGCGAGGATGTCAGAAACCTTCCATTAAAGCTTTTCTTTCACACCTCAAACCTCACAGGAGAACCGAGAGGCACACACTCCTGACGCACGCCAGTGACCGCAGCGTTTAAGGGCCTCGAGTGTGTGTGTGTGTGTGTGTGTGTGTTTCTGGACGGTTCTCAGCCCTCTGGGGTCAGTAAATGACCACCGCTTCCCTCTCCATCACTACAGGACACTGGTAAACACACTCCTTTGTTCATCACAGGGTTAAAGGGACCGTTCAAAACCTGCTTCGGTTTTATTTTTATTTTGAGTACAGGTTTAGTTTGAGTAAATGTTAAACATATTACTTTTTTTTTTTTTAAGTTTTTCATCTAATATTTATATTTTATTTTAGCTTATTTAAATTTGCCACCTTATGCATCAAGCAGGTGCGTAGAAATATTAATAAAAGCAAATAAATCTCATTTTTAATGCAACATTTCAAGTCACGTGACCTTCATCACTCCTGTTTTCACATGAAACGTATGAATATAATATTTGCAAGCTATAGCAGTTCATCTGTTTTGGTTCGATTATTTGCTTCTATTTATATTTCTATGCACCTGCTTGATTCATAAGGTGGCAAATTGAAAAATGCTTAAATAAAATAGAAATATTAGATGAAAAACTTTTAAAATTAAATGTGTCTAAAATTTACTCAAAGTAAAAATGAAATAAAAATAATAATCATTTGATTTAATAATGTGCACTTATTGTGTACATGCATGTTTTTACATTGTACTTATATTTGAAAAAACGATACCTGCATGTAACTGCAGCTGTAATTAATTTCTAGGGATGCATGATATATCGGCCAATATCGGTTCATTTTTAATGTTATCGTTATCGGTCAGATAAGAATATTTGGGTGATCTATTAAAGCCGATATATAATGTATTATTTCCCTCAGCTGAGACGCTTCAGATGCGCACTGTTCAACATGATCGTTTTGCATTGCTTGGAATATGATTGGAATCACTTAAAAAAAGTAAAAATACAGTTAAATGCAACGCAAGTCTGTCATATCGGCTACATAACATCATAACGAGAACATTATAATTGTGTGCTTGGGACGTGGATTTTAAAGGTGAAACTTTTGTTTTTGTAATCAGGCTCTCAAAAATGACATAAAAATATGGATTTAGATTTATCGGCCAATATATCGGTTATCGGCTTTCAAATATAAAGAATTATCGGTTATCGATATCGGCCAAAATTTTCATAGCGGTGCATCCCTGTTAATTTCTGTCCTTCCATGTAAAATGACACTGTTGAGATTCCTTTAGCTCTTAACTGACCCTTTAACGGTGATATAGGGCCCTATCTTGCACTCGGCGCAAATGACTTTGTACACTGACGCATGTATCATTCCTATTTTGCACCCGCGCAAAGCGGACTTTTCCCTCCACAGACGCACGTCGGTTAACTAAGAAATACACTTGCGCTCCCCGGGGTGGTTCAGCGCAAAGAGGAGGCGTGTTCCGGCGCAAACTTTCCCTCATGCTATTTTGCTGTTCTATAAAACAATTGCGCCACTGACCAGAAAAAAACTAGTCTAAAGTCAGTGGCGCGTTGCGCGTTGTTCATTATGCTATTTTAAGGGCGCATGCTTGGCCATAATCAATGTAGCGTGTGCACAACGCACATACACGTTGATTCTCTCATCTAAGCAGCAGTTTTCATTTTTGCAAATCATACATTATTACGATAGATAGATAGATAGATAGATAGATAGATAGATAGATAGATAGATAGATAGATAGATAGATAGATAGATAGATAGATAGATAGATAGATAGATAGATAGATAGATAGATAGATAGATAGATAGATAGATAGATAGATAGATAGATAGATAGGCAATTTATTATAAAAGCATGTAGCTTACACATTTACCCAAATTATCATACGCCTGTTTAACAGAAGTTAATTTGTGTGGGTTTCTCCATCCCCAATGTCACTTCTCTGTGTTTTACGGCCCTGACGAGAACGTTGCTCTCCTCGGCTGTGAACCGCTCCTGGCGCGCGCCTGGCAAATCCACCGTTATAATAGGAATCCGCTTTAGAACAAGCGCGCCTGCTCTTAAAGGGAATGTGAGATGACGCTCTGATTGGTTTATTTCACGTTACGCCCAAACCACACCTATGAATAATGAAGCTACTTCAGACCAACCCCTTTTAGATTTGCGCCAGGCGCAAGAGGCATTTATCCCGCCGGGAAAATAGCAACAGCGCCGGGATCCGCCCACAAAGTTACTTGCACTTTGCGCTTTGACACTTGCGTTTCAGATCGTTAAAATAGGGCCCATATTATGCCCCTTTTCACAAGATGTAATGTGCCATTTTTGTGTGTGTCCCTTTAAATGCAAATGAGCTTTAGCTCCGCCTCCGTTCAGAAGAGGGCGGAGCTTCAGAGACTCCGGCAATAACAACACAGGCCGATCTCACTGATCCAGAGTCAGGAGTAACAGCAGCGAGTGCAGCCTTACGGAGAGACTCAGGGAGAGCTTCACTTTTACACGTTTCTGAATGT